TGCTGTCAAGGGTGGACACGGCTGCAGACTTCTGGGGGAATTGTTGCCTCCTGCTCTTTTGTTACTGAGTGAAATAAGGTTGTTCAATAAAGACCTTTATCCCCGAGGCCTCTCTGTGTCTGTTTTCTGGGGTGTCATGGCTGGAGTCGAAACTAGGGTAAGGAGTGGAAGTGAGAGGACATTGTTTGGGGCAACTCTGAGTCTAGGTTAGCAGTGGGGCTGCCCTGGATGGAAAGAACTGAGCCCCTCCCCTCCCCTGGGTGGAAAAAACTAAGCCCCTCCTTTCTAATCATCTTCTGTTTGCATTTTCTTAGAACCCTTGAGAAGCCAGTAAATGTAATGGATCTTCTTTTTGTTTTGTTTTGTTTGAGACAGTCTCGCTCTGTGCCCCAGGCTGTCGTGCAGTGGGGCAATCTCGGCTCACTGCAACCCCCACCTCCCGGGTTCATGCCCTTCTCCTGCCTCCGCCTCCTGAGTAGCGCCTGCCACCATACCTGTCTAATTTTGTATTTTTAATAGAGACAGGGTTTCGCATGTTGGCCAGGATGGTCTCAAACTCCTGACCTCAGGTGATCCACCTGCCTCAGCCTCCCAAAATGCTGGGATTACAGGTGTGAGCCACCATGCCCAGCCAGTGGATCTTCCTAGGAGATGCAAACACAAATTTTTACACAAACTCTTCCAAATAACTTTTCAGGGGGCTTGTGGATCCTGTAAATAACCCCCCACCCTCACCCTCCATCACCAATACACCCTCTTCAAGCCTACCATCTCCTGACCTTGGGCTAAGGATGCCCAAGAGTGGGCAGCCTCATACTTTTCTAACTTGACTTCTGTGCTACTGAATGAAAGGGACATCTTTACCTCCCGCAACCCTCTGTCTCTCTTGGAAGGCTGCTATTTGAGGGATTTCATCACGTTAACATCTTCTAGGATGTCCTTGTAGAAAATGGATTCAAGAAGGCTTGACCCTCAGCCTCCCAAGTAGGTAAGGTAGGGCTACAGGTGTGTACCTCCACATCTGGCTGTTTTGTTTTCTGTTTTTTTTTTTAGAAATAGTCTCACTCTTATCACTCAGTCTGGAGTGCAGTGGCACAGTCATAGCTCACTGTAGCCTCAAACTCCTGGATTCAAGTGATCCTCCTGACTCAGCCTCCCAAGTAGTAACTAGGACTATAGGCATGAGCCACCACACCTGGCCTATTTTTATTTTTGTAGAGGTGGGGGTTTTGCTATGTTGCCCACGCTGGTCTCTTGGCTTCAAGGGATCCTTCTGCCTCAGCCTCCCAAAGTGTTGGGATCACAGACATGAGCCAGTGTGCCTGGCCAGTTATTTATTTTTTGAGATGGAGTCTCGCTCTGTCGCCCAGGCTGGAGTGCAGTGGTGCGATCTCAGCTCACTGCAGCCTTGGCGTCTGGGATTCAAGTGACTGTCCTGCCTTGGCCTCCTGAGTAGCTGGGACTATAGGCATGTGCCACCATGCCCTGCTAATTTTTGTATTTTTAGTAGAGACAGGGTTTCACCATGTCTGTCAGGGTGGTCTCGATCTGACCTTGTGATCTACCTGCCTCGGCCTCACAAAGTGCTGGGATTACAGGCGTGAGCCACCCTGCCTGGCCCAGTTATTTTATTACTGAAGTTTTTTAGAGACAAAGTTTCACTTTGTGGCCCAGGCTGGAGTGCAGTGGCATGATCAGAGCTCACTGCAGCCTTGAACTTCTAGGCTCAAGTGATCCTCCCACATCAGCCTCTCAGGTAGCTGGGATTACAGGCACGAGACATCAGCAATTTTGGATTGTGTCATCTTGGCAGCCTGTATAAAAAGGTTGAAACAGGACTAAGGAATCCCTGTTTAGCCTCTTTATTGTTCCTGCCATAATCTTCAAGTTAGCATGTGTGATGTGATGAGCCTCTGTTATTATATAATGTGGATACAGTAGTTGCCTTACCTGATTTCCAGTGGTGGTGATGTTAAAATAAATTAAAAAGTGATTTGTAAACCGAAAAGAATAATTCTCTCCCAAATTGTGATTTGGGTGATTATGCATTAGAATAAGACAGTTTCATAGTGGCTTTTAACCTTTCACCTTTAGTTCTTCATTCAGCAGTGAATAGCAACCGAGCCTTACTCTGCATCAGACATTAGTCTATGGGGATTCAAATAGAGAAAAAAAAAATCTATGCTCAAAAAGTTTAATGCAATGATGAAAACAATTGTGATGGATACCAGGGTGTGAACAAGGTACCCTGGGATCACTGAGATGGGGCCTAAGTGCCTGGGGCGGTCAGGGATGACTTTGAGGAAGCTTATATGCTTACAGGAAGATAAGTTTGTACAGAGGAAAAGAGGGCAGAATATAGCTAAGGGAGTAGCAAAGGCAAGAAGGAGGAAAAGCTATTTTCAGAAACTTACCGATAATTTCGTTTGGCTACATGCATAGGGGCCAGGGAAAAGTGTGGCAGGAGATACAGCTAGAAATTCAGGCTCAGACCAGGTTTACAAGAGCTTTGTTGTGCTAAGAATTTGACAGTATCTTTCAATGGGGCCCATTGAATGCAAGCAGAAAAGTGATGTGATCAGCTATCTGGGTGAGAAAGCTAACCCTGGAGGGCAGGAGAGCAGGCAAGGAAAATGAATGCTTGAACTAATGCAGTTGAAATGGGGACATAGGGAAGGGTAGAATAGTTATTTTTTTAAAAGATAAAATCAATAAGACTTGATTTTGATCCAAATACCAATAGGACCTGGTGTCTGATTAGATGTAGTGTGTGGATGGAGAAGGAATATAGGGTGAATCCCAGATTTTCAGGTTAGGCACTATCCATTAGGTAAGCAACAATATATTTGGGGGACTTGATTGAGTAAGGAAAGTTAAATTCTGGCCAGGTAATAAGTATCAGAGTTTGGATGAAAACCCAAGCTATCTGACCTGTGGATTTGGCTCTGGATGATGGTCCCTGGCCTCTGTCAGTGTTTTTTGTTTTTTGTTTTGAGACGGAGTTTCACTCTTGTTGCCCAGGCTGAAGTCCAATGGCAGAATCTTGGCTCACTGCAACCTCTGCCTCCCGGGTTCAAGCAATTCTCCTGCCTCAGCCTCCTGAGTAGCTGGGATTACAGGCATGTGCAACCATGCGCAGCTAATTTTTGTATTTTTAGTAGAGACGGGGTTTCTCCATGTTGGTCAGGTTGGTCTCAAACTCCTGACCTCAGGTGATCTGCCTGCCTTAGCCTCCCCAAATACTGGCATTACAGGCGTGAGCCACTGCCCCTGGCCGGCTGTCAGTTTTAGGATTACTTCTCTTCCGTCCTTATTCTTCCATCCTTAGGCTTTTGCCCCTCCGTGGGAGTGTCTGCTCTTTTTATATTTTATTTTATTTATTTATTTATTTGAAAGAGAGTCTCACTCTGTCGCCCAGGCTGGAGTGCAGTCGCGATCTCAGGTCACTGCAGCCTCCAACTCCCAGGTTCAAGCGATTCTCTGCCTTAGCCTCTCCACTAGCTGGGACTACAGGTGCTTGCCACCACATCAGGCTGATTTTTCTATTTAGTGTAGAGATGAGGTTTCACCATGTTGGCAAGGGTGGTCCCGAACTCCAGACTTCAGGTGATCTGCCCACCTTGGCCTCCCAAAGTGCTGAAATTACAGGCGTGAGCCACCGTGCCTGGCCTTATTTTTTATCTTTATTTTTTGAGACGGAGTCTCACTGTCATCCAGGCTGGAGTGCAGTGGCGCAATCTTGGTTCACTGCAACCTCCCTCTCCCGGGTTCAAGCAGTTCTCTGCCTCTGCCTCCCGAGTGGCTAGGACTACAGGCGCGTACCACCAGACCCGGCTAATTTTTTGTATTTTAGTAGAGACGGGGGTTTCACCATGTTGGCCAGGATGGTCTAGATCTTCTGACCTCGTGATCCGCCCACCTCGGCCTCCCAAAGTGCTGGGATTACAGGCGTGAACCACCGCGCCCCGCCCACGATCTTTTTAAACTACAAATCTCATACTACTTGGCCTAGTTAGAATGTTTCTATCCTTTTAATTTCCTTTGTTATAGCCCTTTCAATGACCTAATCTAAATTATTTTCAAAGCCTGCATAATTCGTATTGTATCACGATTTACTTAGGCAGGACTGAGTCTTTAATTTCTTTTCTTTTTTTTTTTTTTTGATATGGAGTCTCATCCTGTGGCCAGGTTAGAGTGCAGTGGCACAATCTCGGCTCACTGCAACCTCCGCCTCCCGGGTTCAAGCAATTTTCTGCCTCTGCCTCCCGAGTAGCTGGGACTACAGGCACACGCCACCACGCCCCAGTAATTTTTGTATTTTTAGTGGAGACGAGGGTTCACCATGTTGGCCAGGATGGTCTCGATCTCTTGACCTCGTGATCCGCCCACCTTGGCCTCCAAAAGTGCTGGGATTACAAGCGTGAGCTACCGCGCCCGCCTTTTTTTTTTTTTTTTTTTTGCGAAGTCTTTAATTTCAGTTTCTCAGGCCCCAATCAGCACTTCGCCTTGTACTTAGCATGCACTCAATAAATGGTTGCTTAAAGTATGAATGAACCAAACAATCGCGGGACAGACAGAGACCCAGAGGGGAGTCGGTCCGGGAGTCTCAAAGTTCGGGAGGGGACACGGGGGCGGGCTGTGGCTGTCATGTGACGGGGCGGGGCAAATCCCATGTGCTCGGCGGCGCAGAGCGCCCGGCGCGGCTCCGCCCCCTGCGCCGGTCACGTGGGGGCGCCGGCTGCGCCTGCGGAGAAGCGGTGGCCGCCGAGCGGGATCTGTGCGGGGAGCCGGAAATGGTTGTGGACTACGTCTGTGCGGCTGCGTGGGGCTCGGCCGCGCGGACTGAAGGAGACTGAAGGTAAAGCCGCCATGTCCGGGCCCGACCCGGCCCCCCCACCCCCTCCCCCCGCATCCGCCGCCATCCGGGCCGGGACCGGCCACCCTGCGCCGCCGCCCCGGCGCCCTAGCCCCGCGGCCCGAGCCCGGGCCCCGGCCCGCCAGGGCCCCGATCCCCGGCCCACGTGTGCCTGGCCCGGCCCGGCCTGGCTGCTGGGTGGGGGTGGGGAGCGCAGGGCCGGACTATGCTGGCCCCGCGGGCTGGGAGGGCGCCGGGTTCGTCGCAGCGAAATGCCACCTCGGTCTGACCCGAGGAGGCCCGGCAGCCCACGGGCGCAGGCACCACGGCTCCCGGCCCGCCGCCCCCTCCCCCCTTCGCGGCCGGGCCGCCGGGAAGTGACACGTTGTTCTTTGGCACTGGCCCGCGCTGCGCAGGGAGGGCGCAGGGGAGGGAGGAGGTGGCGGCGGGCAGGGAGGAGCCCCCGGCCCCGCCCGCCCTCCGGGCCGACCCTCACTTGCCTGAAACCGGCTCCTCGACGGCCGCCGCCCGCCTGGCCTTTTAGGGCCTGACTCCCGCCCTTCCTGGCCTATACTCCTGGGCGGCGGCAGGCCTAGCTTCTGGCCCAGTGCGGGTTCCCTGGCGGCAGGCGTATCTTGTGTGCCCCTGGGCCAGGCCCGAACCCGGTGTGCCCGGGTGGGGGGTGGGGACACCACGGCCGAAGCAGCTAGCTCCGTTCGTGATCCGGGAGCCTGGTGCCAGCGAGACCTGGAATTTCCGGTCTGGTTGGTCTTGGGCCCCGCGGAGCCAGGTTGATACCCCTCACCTCCCAACCCCAGGCCCTCGGATGCCCAGAACCTGTAGGCCGCACCGTGGACTTATTCTTAATCGAGGGGGTGAGTGAGGGGACTCTTTGAGTAGACCAGGGGTTGGTTGGAAGTGATGTGGGATTGACAGCATGTTGGTGGGGACAGGCTGTATCTTTTCTGCTTCACCCTCTTGGCATCTCTGGGACTCCGTATGGGACCCAGCCTTGCATCAACCCTTCTACCGCCCCATTTGCCTTAAGCTTGGGTCCCTTCCTCTTCCTGAGCGCCACTGTTTCCCAACAGGTGCTGGGGGGACCCTGATGTGGCACCAAATGAAATGAACAAAGCTCCACAGTCCACAGGCCCCCCACCCGCCCCATCCCCCGGACTCCCACAGGTAATTAGGGAGGAATTAGCAGGGGTGGGGGTGGGGGACACCAGGCAGTCGGGCAGGAACAGGTTCCAGCCTCTGGATTTTCCTACCCCCATCTCTGTCAGGGCAAAGTGCAGCCGCTTGCTGCCAAATTGAGACAGGGCCCCTGGGCTGTCCCCGGGGGCTGTCACGGGGAGGGGGTATGTGGATTGTTAAGGCTCTTGCCGCAGATCTGCTCCCCTTATTTCACCAGCTTGGGTTTCTGCCCCACCTGGGCTTCCCCTCTTGCTGAACTCTGGTCTCCCCTCTTCAGCCAGCGTTTCCCCCGGGGCAGACAGCGCCGGTGGTGTTCAGTACGCCACAAGCGACACAAATGAACACGCCTTCTCAGCCCCGCCAGGTGAGGGGCTGTGGGGAGGGGAGTAGGGGGCCTGGGTGGGAGCAGTGGAAAGCTTTGGCCAATTTAGGCCTAAGATGGAAACTGGAGGCCCCGTACCTGGCCTTAATCCTCTGTGTTCTTTCATGCGGCTCTGCGCCTTGCCCTGTTGATTACTTACGGTGGCTGGTCCCTTGGATAGTATATTGTCAATGAGGGTGGCATTACTGGGATCCTAGTGCATCTAAGAATTGGGGGCAGTGCTTTGGGCCCTGCTGCCAACTCTTGCTTTCCTATTTGCTCCTTTTACCGGAGGCTGCCATTGCTCTATTGCTCTCTCTGCTTTCTCTTTGGACTGTGGTGAGATAAACACTTCAGCTGGTCCTTGCCTTTCTCTGTTCCGCAACTTCTTCCTTACTAAGTGGGAGGATTCTTGTCCTGTCCTATTGCCTTCATTCCCTCCCCCCGCCATCACCTTGGGGATAATTCTCTTCTTTCCTGTCCCCATGTGCTCTCAGGGAGGATTCAGGTCTCTGCAGGTAATACCCCTTTCCTAACCCTGGACGGTCTCCTGGTCTCATCCTTACCCTCCATCCTAGTCAGGGGCTAGACACAGGGAATAGGAGTCTTCAGGGTGGTGACTTGTTTGGTGTCCAGGTTCTCAGTTGGACGCCGAGTGATGCATGTTAGGGGCTACATCTTGAAGAACGCGCATCTGGGGACTGGGAGGCTGTTGCATGTTATGGTTAGCTCCTCATTACATGCTGGTGGAGCAGTGCATGCTGGGGGTATGTTGCCCGAAAGGGCCTTACTTAGGCATGATGCATCTGGGTGTTAGGAAGCCTCTGCAGAGGGGTAGTTTGGTACAGGTGACATGCGTAAGCATGGCAGTGAGAGAGTAAATCTATACAGGATGCAAACTGTACATCTGAATTTGGAGGGCGTGTGTGTGTTCAAGAAGCTGCTTAACCATTTGGTCAAGTGGTCTTGGAAGGATTGGTCTCCATGTTCTGAAGCCCACAGTACTTTCCAGGCTATAGAGACATTGTGGAGTGGCTATTTTTTGTCCACTTCCTCCTCTTTACAATGCCAACTGCTTTCCTCCCTCCTGACAGCACTTCTACCCTAGCCGGGCCCAGCCCCCGAGCAGTGCAGCCTCCCGAGTGCAGAGCGCAGCCCCTGCCCGCCCTGGCCCAGCTGCCCATGTCTACCCTGCTGGATCCCAAGTAATGATGATCCCTTCCCAGATCTCCTACCCAGCCTCCCAGGGGGCCTACTACATCCCTGGACAGGTGAGGCTGGGGGCTTGGAGCCTAGAAGCCACAGACCCATATACTTCTCACTTCCCTCACCCTGACCCTCCAGTTCCATTCCTTTTCCAGAGGTGGGACTTACTTCTGATCATTGCCCAGAGTTGGCTTGTCTTGTCTTGACCTACATTCTTTTTGGAGTCTGATATGGAACTCATAGCTCCCTCAACTCCTTCTCTCCCCCTCCCCAACCAGGGGCGTTCCACATATGTTGTCCCGACACAGCAGTACCCTGTGCAGCCAGGAGCCCCAGGCTTCTATCCAGGTGCAAGCCCTACAGAATTTGGGACCTACGGTAAGCAGGGGAGGGAGTCGGAGGTGAGATCAAGCCCAAGGGAGCATGTAAACCCATCTGCTGATTTCTAAAGCAGAAGACCCTTCCCAGGCTTGGCTTTTGGTCTAAAAATGATAAGGTTAATAGGTGGTAGGGATTGGTGCTTAATATTTAACTGGTGTTGATTGTGGGGAGAAAATGTGATTCTATTGCCAGGAGAGTTTAGGGTCTTGCCCACATCAGGGAATGTAGAATCAGGTATCAGCCTGAGAGCCTATTAGTAGGTTTTCCCTGTGACACTTCTTCCATGGTTGGGAGCCCATGTAATGCAAATTCGGGAGGTGTTTGTAGCTATTTTTTATTTATATTCTAGGAAAGGATTAGTCTGTTCTTTATGGCAGTGGTTTCCAAGTGTTTTGATCACCTATCAGGAAAAGTTTTGAGTATGAATCTCTCATACACATATGTTTTTGTTTATATGTATGCAAAATTTAAACATACACACTCGTGCTTGTCAAAAACAAAACAAGTAGAATTTAGGGATGAAGTTAAAGAATGCGCCCTGGCCGTGCGAGGGATCTTGCCTGTAATCCCAGCACTTTGGGAGGCAGGAGGACTGCTTAAGGCCAGGAGTTTGAGACCAGCCTGGGAAACATAGTGAGACCCTGTCTCTTTTAAAATTTAAGGGAGAGCTGAGTGCGGTGGCCCATGCCTGTAATCCCAGCACTTTGGGAGGCTGAGGCAGGTTGATCACTTGAGGTCAGGAGTTGAGACCAGCCTGGCCAACATAGTGGAACCCCGTTTCTACTAAATTTTATTGTTATTTTTATTTTCTTTTTGAGACAGAGTCTCACTCTGTCACCCAGGCTGAAGTGTAGTGGCACAATCTTGGCTTTCTGCAGCCTCCACCTCCCAGGTTCAAGTGATTCTCCTGCCTCAGCCTCCCGAGCAGCTGGGATTACCGGCGTGTGCCACCACACCCAGCTAATTTTTGTATTTTTAGTAGAGACGGTGTTTCATCATGTTGACCAGGCTGTTCTCGAACTCCTGGCCTCAAGTGATCCACCTGCCTTGGCCTCCCAAAGTGCTGAGATTATAGGTGTGAGCCACCACGCCTGGCCCCGTCTCAACTAAAAATACAAAAATTAGTCGGGCATGGTGGTGCAGTCTTGTAATCCCCACTATTCGGGAGGCTGAGGCAGGAGGATCACTTGAACCTGGGACGTGGAGGTTGCAGTGAACCAGGATTGTGCCACTGTATTCCAGCCTAGGCAACAGAGTGAGACTCCATCTCAAAAAAATGCATATATATTTAAGGGGAAAAAAAGAACGCACCCCACTTTGGAGATAGTTTGCTTTAAGGAATTAATTTTTCTTCATATTGAGGCTAGCTCATAAAGTTACTTTGTTTCTTTGCCCCTTTGTAAAGGGCTGGAGACAGGAACTGGACTCAAGTTAAATGGAACAGGGTTGTCAAATCTCTTTCATTCCCAGCCAAAGACCTGGTTCTGTTTCAGGTTCAGAGTATGTGTGTACAGGTTGATAGCGGGTGGGGTACATACATGAGAGTACCTTGTATGGTAGAAGGACAGACATAAGTCCTCTTGGTTGCTGGTGTGTGGTGGGTAAAGAGTGCCTGCCTATGAGATGTGTGTGTGTGTGTGTGTGTGTCTCAGTGTTAGGAATTCTTGTAAACGCAGTTCAGACTGGTTCCCCAGCTTTGACAGACACCTGATTCCCTGGGGGAGGAGGGCAGGGCAGGGCAAGGGGCCGGCTGTGGGTGTTGAGAGGTTTTGGGGTGGGAGGTGTCAAGCAGACATTAGGATATGGTTGGGCCCTGACGCTACCACCATTCTTCTCCGTCCCCCTCCCCCAAGCTGGCGCCTACTATCCAGCCCAAGGGGTGCAGCAGTTTCCCACTGGTGTGGCCCCCGCCCCAGTTTTGATGAACCAGCCACCCCAGATTGCTCCCAAGAGGGAACGTAAGACGGTGAGTAGCAGCGAGGGGCTCCGGGACATCTGGGAAGGGGAGAATCAAGGTCAGATGCTGCTGGGACATTGTGCCGGAAAGAACAGTGACTTGAGGAGGAAGGAGCTGAGAGTGGGCCGAGAATGGGGTCTGTGGAGGGCTCAGGTTCTTTGTAAGATACTAAGATTTTAGTATAGAAGCAGGTCATGGGAACACTGAAGTGGCTAGCGAGGAAGTTCCTGTGAGACCTGGGTGCTGGGAGGTTGGAAGAACTGTGCTTGCTTTTGGGTTTCTGGTGGCTTGCCTTGGAAATGGTTTGTTTTCTGTGGCCCCAGCCCCCATCCCCACCCGGCCCCCCCCAAGTCCTGGAAGCTCTCAAGGCCTCCGCCTCTGCTCAGTCCTCAAGCCCTGGGCGTGGTGCCCAGAATAGGGTGCCAGAGCTGGGGAAGCCGCTGAGTCACCCTGGCTCCACCTACTGGATCTGGGCCCTGCCCCCAGAGATCAGGCACACTAGCCACAAGTGAGCCGATTGGGTGCTAGATGGGGGTCTTGGGCCCCAGGCTGTGCAGCCACTGACTTGGGGACTGCTGGTGGGGTAGGGATGAGGGAGGGAGGGGCATTGTGATGTACAGGGCTGCTCTGTGAGGTCAAGGGTCCCTTAAGGGTGGGAGCTAGGGCAGGGACTACAAGAGCAGCCAGATGGGCTGAAAGTGGAACTCAAGGGGTTTCTGGCACCTACCTACCTGCTTCCCAGTGTGGGGTGGGGAGTTGGCCCAGAGTCCTTTAGAGTGGGGCAGGGTGGAGAGGTGGGTTCTTCCTGCTTCCCACTCATCCCATAACTTTCTTTCCCCAGATCCGAATTCGAGATCCAAACCAAGGAGGAAAGGATATCACGGAGGAGATCATGTCTGGGGCCCGCACTGCCTCCACACCCACCCCTCCCCAGGTACTGTCTGCTTTTTGAGCGATACCCTGACTGGGATGTCTGTTCTGCCCTGGACTCCCAAGTCTCTGGATGTTTTCTTTCAACTAAGGGATTTATTTCCCTGCTTTCCTGGATTTCTAGGCAGAGCTAAAGTAGAAATGGCTCTAGTAAAGAAGGGTTGTGGGACTCTTCAGTGCAAACTTGGTAACCCTTTGTGTCCTGCAGACGGGAGGCGGTCTGGAGCCTCAAGCTAATGGGGAGACGCCCCAGGTTGCTGTCATTGTCCGGCCAGGTAAGTAAGCGGGTGGGATGGAGCTTTTACGGGGAAAGGGAATGTTGACAGTTTGCTGTCACCTCAATGCTGAGGTGGTGGAGTGACTTGAACTGGGTACCAGAGAAGGATGACTTAGATTTCAGGTCGTGGGATTTTGAGGGTGAATTGGGTTTTGGATGAAAGTGGAAGTATAGCTGAGGTGGGAGATGGTGACGTGGGAGTGTTAAGTTGGAAATGCCTTGGCTGGAGGATGGGGAGGAACAACAGCAGTGAAGCACTTGCCTTTAGTTGCTCATTCTTCCTTCCTATGGTGCAGATGACCGGTCACAGGGAGCAATCATTGCTGACCGGCCAGGGCTGCCTGGCCCAGAGCACAGCCCTTCAGAATCCCAGCCTTCGTCACCTTCTCCGACCCCATCACCATCCCCAGTCTTGGAACCGGGGTCTGAGCCTAATCTCGCAGTCCTCTCTATTCCTGGGGACACTATGGCAACTATACAAATGTCTGTAGAAGAATCAACCCCCATCTCCCGTGAAACTGGGGAGCCATATCGCCTCTCTCCAGAACCCACTCCTCTCGCCGAACCCATACTGGAAGTAGAAGTGACACTTAGCAAACCGGTTCCAGAATCTGAATTCTCTTCCAGTCCTCTCCAGGCTTCCACTCCTCTGGCATCTCACACAGTGGAAATTCATGAGCCTAATGGCATGGTCCCATCTGAAGATCTGGAACCAGAGGTGGAGTCAAGCCCAGAGCTTGCTCCTCCACCAGCTTGCCCCTCCGAATCCCCTGTGCCCATTGCTCCAACTGCCCAACCTGAGGAACTGCTCAACGGAGCCCCCTCGCCACCAGCTGTGGACTTAAGCCTAGTCAGTGAGCCAGAGGAGCAGGCCAAGGAGGTGACAGCATCAGTGGCGCCCGCCACCATCCCCTCTGCCATTCCAGCTATGGCTCCTTCAGCTACTTCCCCCACTCAAGAGGAGGAAATGGAAGAAGAAGAAGAAGAAGAAGAGGAAGAAGGAGAAGCAGGAGAAGCTGAGAGTGAGAAGGGAGGAGAGGAACTGCTCCCCCCAGAGAGCACCCCTGTTCCAGCCAACTTGTCTCAGAATTTGGAGGCAGCAGCGGCCACTCAAGGTAAGGATTGGTTGGGCGGTAGAGGTAGGGTGGGCTAGGGGATGTGGTTCCTTGCCCTCCTTGATGACCTCCCGTTTTTGCCATGTTTCTGGGTCAGAGGCCCTGCAATGGAATCTAAGAACTAGATTAAGGACTTTTAAGCCTAAAGACGGTGATGCAAAGGGGAAATATTGTACTTTGGCTGCTTTTTATTTCCCAGGGATTAAGGGTACTCCTTAAATTACTGGCAAAGACCCGTGCTTTTATTTATTTTTTAAAATTAGTGGCAGTATCTGTGCCAAAGAGGAGACGGAAAATTAAGGAGCTAAATAAGAAGGAGGCTGTTGGAGACCTTCTGGATGCCTTCAAGGAGGTAAGGGAGCAGAAAACGGGAGGGGAGAGGGCCAAGTTGAGGTATGGAACAGTGGTCATTGTGCAACCAAAACTGGTGTTCTGTTGTTCTAGGCAAACCCGGCAGTACCAGAGGTGGAAAATCAGCCTCCTGCAGGCAGCAATCCAGGCCCAGAGTCTGAGGGCAGTGGTGTGCCCCCACGTCCTGAGGAAGCAGATGAGACCTGGGACTCAAAGGAAGACAAAATTCACAATGCTGAGAACATCCAGCCCGGGGAACAGAAGTATGAATATAAGTCAGGTATGCTGAAGAAAGGGTTGAGAATGACTTGAGTTTTCTTATTAGGGCCAGAGAAGACAGTATGATTGCTTCATTCTCTTTTCCTCGCAGATCAGTGGAAGCCTCTAAACCTAGAGGAGAAAAAACGTTACGACCGTGAGTTCCTGCTTGGTTTTCAGTTCATCTTTGCCAGTATGCAGAAGCCGGAGGGATTGCCCCATATCAGTGATGTGGTGCTGGACAAGGTTAGTGGCTTGAGTCAGGGAGGGGACGATAAGTTTGTGCTGGATGGATTGGGGAGGAGCCTGAGGTCCTGAAAGAGTAGTCAACTGCTCTAGCCTGCTTCTAAGACCTTTTCCTGTCCTCTTTGCAGGCCAATAAAACACCACTGCGACCACTGGACCCCACTAGACTACAAGGCATAAATTGTGGCCCAGACTTCACTCCATCCTTTGCCAACCTTGGCCGGCCAGCCCTTAGCACCCGTGGGCCCCCAAGGGGTGGGCCAGGTGGGGAGCTGCCCCGAGGGCCGGTGAGTGGGGCTGGGTAAAGGGGCAGGTGGGTAAGGAGTGGGAGTGGATGATTCCCTTGTGTCTCAGTGCTGACGGGGAGGGTTTTGCCCTGGAGGTGTGTAGTAGTGGTATCACATATTGTGCTGACTAGTTCCACGTCTCCTCTTGTCTTCATCCCTTGCTTAGCAGGCTGGCCTGGGACCCCGGCGCTCTCAGCAGGGCACCCGAAAAGAACCACGCAAGATCATTGCCACAGTGTTAATGACCGAAGATATAAAACTGAACAAAGCAGAGAAAGCCTGGAAACCCAGCAGCAAGCGGACGGCAGCTGATAAGGACCGAGGGGAAGAGGATGCTGATGGCAGCAAAACCCAGGTACTGGCGAGTCCTGCTTTTGGTCTCTCTCCATTTCTTTTCCAGGTCTGCCATCAGTGCCCTCTTTGCTTCTTTTTGTCCTTATCAGTAGCATCTGTCATGCCGAAGTCCCCACCACTCTCTCCTGTCCCTCCGAACAGCCTGTTCTGAGACCCTCACTGGAACTCTTGTCTCTTCTTCCTCCAGGACCTATTCCGCAGGGTGCGTTCCATCCTGAATAAGCTGACACCCCAGATGTTCCAGCAGCTGATGAAGCAAGTGACGCAGCTGGCCATTGACACCGAGGAGCGCCTCAAAGGGGTCATTGACCTCATTTTTGAGAAGGCCATTTCAGAACCCAACTTCTCTGTGGCCTATGCCAACATGTGCCGCTGCCTGATGGCGGTGAGTTTCCACCGGGTTCTAAATCTTACAGACTAGTCGCCCATTTCTATTCCCAACATGTGCCGCTGCCTGATGGCGGTCGCCCATTTATTCCCAACATGTGCCGCTGCCTGATGGCGGAGAGTTTCCACTGGTTCTAAATCTTATGGTCTAGTCGCCTACTTCTATTCCCAACATGTGCCGCTGCCTGATGGCGGTGAGAGTTTCACTGGTTCTGGGAACTTATGGTCTAGTCGCCATTTCTATTCCTAACATGTGCCGCTGCCTGATGGCGGTGAGTTTCCCCACTGGGTTCAAATCTTATGGCCTAGCTGTTGCCCATTTCTATTCCCAAGACTCCTTGAGTCCAGCTTCTTGGTTCTCCTCCAACTTGCACCTCCTCCAGCTGGAAGGAGGCAGAGCTGGGGCCAGATATCTTCCTGGGTCAGGTAGTTAAAGGCTCTTGGAGGGCCTTCCCTGCCCATTACTAGTCTGAGTGTGACATTCTCTCCGACCTGCAGCTGAAAGTGCCCACTACGGAAAAGCCAACAGTGACTGTAAACTTCCGAAAGCTGTTGTTGAATCGATGTCAGAAGGAGTTTGAGAAAGACAAAGATGATGATGAGGTTTTTGAGAAGAAGCAAAAAGAGATGGATGAAGCTGCTACGGTGAGAGAAAACCCACTACCGATTCCACTCCCCGCTCTGCTCCTTCCCTCACCCAGATGCTACTCATCTGTAGAATTTGGAATGGAGATAGTGGTGTCTTGGGGATTTCTCTGGCTCAGAACTTTTTTTTTTCCTTTTTGAGACAGAGTCTCGCTCTGTCACCGAGGCTGGAGTGCAGTGGCGTGATCTTGGCTAGCCTCCACCTCCCGAGTTCAAGCGATTCTCCTGCCTCAGCCTCCCAAGTAGCTGGGATTACAGGCATGTGCCACCATACCTGGCTAATTTTTTTGTATTTTTAGTAGAGACGGGGTTTTACAATGTTGGCCAAGCTGGTCTCAAACTCCTGACCTCAAGTGATCTGTCTGCCTCGGTCTCCCAAAGTGGTGGGATTACAGGCATGAGCCACTATGCCCAGCCAGCCTGCCTCAGGACTGAGTGCTTATTGCTAAGTTTGGATATCCAGGTAGAAAAGGGTTTTAGCAGAGTGGCTGGCTATCTTTTTGACACAATCCCTGTCCTGTGAATGGCAGGCAGAGGAACGAGGACGCCTTAAGGAAGAGCTGGAAGAGGCTCGGGACATAGCCCGGCGGCGCTCTTTAGGGAATATCAAGTTTATTGGGGAGTTGTTCAAGCTGAAGATGTTAACAGAGGCAATAATGCATGACTGTGTGGTCAAACTGCTTAAGAACCATGATGAAGAGTCCCTTGAGTGCCTTTGTCGTCTGCTGACCACCATTGGCAAAGACCTGGACTTTGAAAAAGCCAAGGTAGAGGTCCTTGCATCTGGAGGGGGATGGGCTGAAGCATGCGGGGCTCACTGAGCCACAGTGACGGGGCAGAAGGCCTGAGGAGGGAGGGGTGGGGCCTGCAGTTATAGGTGAGACATGAGAAGTTCCTGGTCTGATGCGTTTCTCCTCCGTAGCCCCGAATGGATCAGTATTTCAACCAGATGGAAAAAATCATTAAAGAAAAGAAGACGTCATCCCGCATCCGCTTTATGCTGCAGGACGTGCTGGATCTGCGAGGGGTGTGTGTCCCCCTCCTCCCCACTGCCAGCCTGCTGCCTCCAGTTTCTGACACTGTCTTGTCTGGCCTTCCCTGACATCATCGTGACTGGCCTTCTGTCTCCACAGAGCAATTGGGTGCCACGCCGAGGGGATCAGGGTCCCAAGACCATTGACCAGATCCATAAGGAGGCTGAGATGGAAGAACATCGAGAGCACATCAAAGTGCAGCAGCTCATGGCCAAGGGCAGTGACAAGCGTCGGGGTGGCCCTCCAGGCCCGCCCATCAGTGAGTTCCAGGCTGGGATTGAGAAGGGAGCAGTGAAGAGACTGGGAGGTTATACTTTCCTCTGATGACTTCCTGTTAGTGCCACGTGTCTGGGCCACTGAGACCCCATGATGGAACTGAGGATCTGAGGAAGGGAGGCTGGGGGTAGCCCAAGGGGAAGGGACTGCTAAGGTTTATTCATTATTCCAGTATGCCCCTCTTTTTGTGTCAGGCCGTGGACTTCCACTTGTGGATGATGGTGGCTGGAACACAGTTCCCATCAGCAAAGGTAGCCGCCCCATTGACACCTCACGACTCACCAAGATCACCAAGGTAGGGGTGTGTGTGGGAGTGGGTGATTCAACTCAGGTTTAGATCTTCGTCCCCTCACTTTTCTAAGGTTGAGAAGGTGACAACTAAATGTTTCCTCTTAGACTAACTGGTTGGATTGGTAGAGACAGTACTGCCAGCTGTAGAGGGAGCATGGTACTCCCATTAGTCTGGACCAGTGTTTGGCAAACACACACACGTGCCAGATCCAGCCCATTCATACATCCCAGGACCCAGTAGTGCGTTTTTACATTTTTTTTTTTTTTTTTTTTTTTTTGAGATGGAGTCTCGCGCTGTCACCCAGGCTGGAGTGCAGTGGCCGGATCTCAGCTCACTGCAAGCTCCGCCTCCCGGGTTCACGCCATTCTCCTGCCTCAGCCTCCCGAGTAGCTGGGACTACAGGCGCCCGCCGCCTCGCCCGGCTAGTTTTTTGTATTTTTTAGTAGAGACGGGGTTTCACCGGGTTAGCCAGGATGGTCTCGATCTGCTGACCTCGTGATCCGCCCGTCTCGGCCTCCCAAAGTGCTGGGATTACAGGCTTGAGCCACCGCGCCCGGCCGCGTTTTTACATTTTAAAGTTGTGAAAAATTAAAAAGTGAATGGTAATTTATGCTGTGGAAATTAAGTAAAATGTAAATGTCAGTGTCCATGAAGTTTTATTGGAACACAGTCACAGCCATGTCTTTATCATCTACAGCTAGCTGGTTTCATGCTGCTGTGGCAGAAATGAGTAGTTGCAATAGAGACTGGCCCTTTATTAAAAAAGGTTTTACTGATCCCTGGACTGGGCCGTGCACTACCTGTTTGGCTGCATGTGGTGGTGCTGGCCAAGGGACTCAGCCAGGTTGGACCTATGACTCTACTCCCCTTTTCTTCTTCAGCCTGGCTCCATCGATTCTAACAACCAGCTCTTTGCACCTGGAGGGCGACTGAGCTGGGGCAAGGGCAGCAGCGGAGGCTCAGGAGCCAAGCCCTCAGATGCAGGTACGGAAGCAGTGTCAGGAGCTGGGTGGTTATCCGTCAGAGCTCCCTTGAGGACAGAGCCTTTCCTTCCTGTTAGAGAGGCCTTCGGTACAAGGTAGTTAGGCAATGTAGGCAATAGAGGAGGTTTGTGTTGTGGTTCCAGGGATTGAACTGCTTTACTTTTGGTACTGGGACCAAGTGTCTTAAACTGGCAAGTAGGGGATAAAATGCAGGAAAGGAGAAAAATATTTTAATAAGGATTTTCTGCATCCCCAGCATCAGAAGCTGCTCGCCCAGCTACTAGTACTTTGAATCGCTTCTCAGCCCTTCAACAAGCGGTACCCACAGAAAGCACAGATAATAGGCGTGTGGTGCAGAGGTGAGGTTTCCTGGACGTCTTTGTTATTCACACTGGGGGTACCATTATTGGGTTCTGGTTGTTGCCATGGGATGGAAATTCTTCATACCTGTCCTGGTTGGAGCCCTTGGGTTAGATTGGGGCATATTCATTATGCCAAGAACAGGGCCCAACAGTTGCTTAGCATGTTGTGTAATTATATGAGTGCCTGGGCAGTGCAAGTGAGTGAAAATGTGCCTGTCTTTCTTCCAGGAGTAGCTTGAGCCGGGAACGAGGCGAGAAAGCCGGGGACCGGGGAGACCGCCTAGAGCGGAGTGAACGGGGAGGGGACCGTGGGGACCGGCTTGATCGTGCACGGACACCTGCTACCAAGCGGAGCTTCAGCAAGGAAGTGGAGGAGCGGAGTAGAGAACGGCCCTCCCAGCCTGAGGGGCTGCGCAAAGCAGCTAGCCTCACGGAGGATCGGGACCGTGGGCGGGATGCCGGTGAGAGTCTGGGAGAGGAATGGAGGGAAAAGTGTTGGCTGCCTTGGGACTAGCTGGTCCCCAGCTTTTTGTGAGCTCTGAATCTTGTTTGCTGGGAAGACTAAAAAGTCTCTCTAATCTGTGTTCTCTTCCCACAGTGAAGCGAGAAGCTACCCTACCCCCAGTGAGCCCCCCGAAGGCAGCACTCTCTGAGGAGGAGTTAGAGAAGAAATCCAAGGCTATCATTGAGGAATATCTCCATCTCAATGACATGAAAGTAGGCAGTGGGAGCGGTGTGTGATTGAGGAGTGGGCAGGAAGGGATCATGCTGGCAGGCATAGGGGTGCATTGTGTGGGTCAGACAGTGACTGGTCTCTTCCTGCTGTGCCCTGCACCCCTCAGGAGGCAGTCCAATGTGTGCAGGAGCTGGCCTCACCCTCCCTGCTCTTCATCTTTGTACGGCATGGTGTTGAGTCTACGCTGGAGCGCAGTGCCATTGCTCGTGAGCATATGGGGCAGCTGCTGCACCAGCTGCTCTGTGCTGGACACCTGTCTACTGCTCAGTACTACCAAGGGTATGACCAACTTCTCTGGGCCTCCCACTTTTACAGACCCACAATTTTTTACCTCCTTTTTGGGACCCTTGGAACCTTGCATAAGAATATAGGTTCCCTGGCCGAGTGTGGTGACTCACACCTGTCTTCCCCAACACTTTGGGAGGCCAAGGTGGGTTGGATTGCTAGAGGATCACATGAGGTCGGGAGTTCTAGACCAGCCTGGCCAACATGGTGAAACCCTGTCTCTACTAATAATACAAAAATTAGCCGGGCGTGGTGGTGCAGTAATCCCAGCTACTCAGGGTACTGAGACAGAAGAATCACTTGAACCCGGGACATTCAAGGGAGGCCACCTCTGTGTCCGTAGCTTGAGATCATTGTCCCCATGTCTAGAAAATGTTCCTGGGGGCGAGGCACAGTGGCTCACGCCTGTAATCCCAGCACTTTGGGAGGCCGAGGCGGGCAGATCACAAGGTCAGGAGATCGAGACCATCCTGGCTAACACGGTGAAACCCCGTCTCTACTAAAAATTCAAAAAATTAGCCGGGCGTGGTGGCGGGCGCCTGTGGTCCCAGCTACTCGGGAGACTGAGGCAGGAGAATGACATGAACCCTGGAGGCGGAGCTTGCAGTGAGCCGAGAGCGTGCCACTGCACTCCAGCCTGGGCGACAGAGTGAGACTCTGTCTCAAACAAACAAACAAAAAAAATAAAACTAAAAGAAAATGTTCCTGGGAGTTCCATAGTTGATCCCTTAGCCATGCCATGTTGCCCCAGAAGGAAGAGTGGGGACCTGGCCTAGAATGTCGTGACTTTGAATTCCCTTTGCAGGCTGTATGAAATCTTGGAATTGGCTGAGGACATGGAAATTGACATCCCCCACGTGTGGCTCTACCTAGCGGAACTGGTAACACCCATTCTGCAGGAAGGTGGGGTGCCCATGGGGGAGCTGTTCAGGTAAGTCCCCTGGGTGGAATTCAGGGGAGGTAAAGACCAGAGGAAAGGTGGTAGGGAAATGTGCTGGGTTGGATACCCTGGTTTGGAGGGAGATGGAGAAGTGGCGAGAGAACTGTGGAGGCTGTCAACATTAGGTTTTTCTCTTCTTGTAGGGAGATTACAAAGCCTCTGAGACCGCTGGGCAAAGCTGCTTCCCTGTTGCTGGAGATCCTGGGCCTCCTGTGCAAAAGCATGGTGAGTGAGGGCCAGGAGTCCAGAGATGCCTCCCACGGTGTGGTTTTGGCTGTTTGCTGTGGCCCTGAAGCTTCATGGTCCATTGGTGGAGTGGAGTGATGGTGATGGCAGGACTGTGTTGGTACCTGGGAGAGGAAATACTGAGGTGGGCCATCTCCCGCACACCAGTTCCTATCATGAGTTCTGGCCAAGACTGGAGGAGAATGGCAGTCTAAGACCCTATGCCCATGATTGATGCATTTATTTATTCATTTATTGAACTAGGGTTTTGTTGATCATTTATTGTATATTAAGCACTAGGGATACAGCAATGAATAAAACATAAGAAACAAGTTGGTAGAGAAAAAGGAAGAAATGACAGCTTGATAAAAACAGTAAAGTGTGAAATAAAATAGTTGAAGTAGAGTGGAGTATCTTAAGTACTGTGGGGTTGCAAAGGAATATTTGACAATATTCGTGACAGCAGGCTTTCCTCAGGGTGCCGAGGTGGCTTTGTGAAAGTTAATTGGTAACTAGCAAATGTAAAGGCAAAAAGATGGGGAAAAGTAAGTTGAGTGTGGTACTTAGTGGAAGTGAGAAGTTGGGGTGAGTGTGTGCAGTTTCAAGGGTTCAGCCATCTTGAACCTAGAGGAATCACACTTGGGATTTAAAGGAATTGTCATGTCAACATCATTTAATTCTTTTAAATAGATGTGTACCAGGACAAGTTGTTGTTTTTTAACAACAGATAAGCGTATTGAACTATTTGTGTACTTCATCCACTCCAAGGTGCCATAGATTATAAGACATTCTTTATGCGCTGTTAAGAAAGAAAAGACTGGGCCGGGTGTGGTAATTCTAGCACTTTGGGAGGCTGAGGCAGGTGGATCACCTGAGGTCAGGAGTTGGAAACCAGCCTGGCCAACATGATGAAACTCTGTCTCTACAAAAAATACAAAAAAGTTAGCTGGGCCTGGTGGTGCGCACCTGTAGTCCCAGCTACTCGGGAGGCTGAAGCAGGAGAATTGCTTGAACCCAGGAGGGGCAGGTTGCAGTGAGCCAAGATTGTGCCACTGCACTCCAGCCTGGGCGACAGAGCAAGACTCCATCTCAAAATAAAAAAAGATATATATTGGCCGTAAGATAACTTTTAGATAAAATATGAAAAAAATGGACATGTTTTAAAATATATGAACTGCAATAATCTTGCTAAGGGCCAGTGCCATCATTCTGTTATAAAGAAAAGAATGATGTCTTCATAGTCTATTGTCTCTTGCAGAAAATGCACTCAGACTGCTGGTTTTATGAGGATTTTAAAATTCATGTTAGGGGTGGGGTGTATCTGTGTCTAACATTTTCTGGGTTTAAGAAACAAGCATACTTGTTAGAAGTTGTCCCTTCCTAGAGGACTTTACGTCGTTTTTCCTACCCTGGTGTCATAGCACTGTGGTGGACAAGTTCTCTTTTATTCTATTTTATTTATTTATTTTTTCAAGACAGTCTCACTCTGTCGTCCAGGCTGGAGTGCAGTGGCATGATCTCAGCTCACTGCAACCCTCGCCTTGGGTTCAAGCGATTCTCCTGCTTCAGCCTCCTGAGTAGCTGGGATTACAGGCACCCGCCACCACGCCGGGCTAATTTTTATATTTTCTGTAGAGACAGGGTTTCGCCATGTTGGTCAGGCTGGTGTCCAACTCCTGACCTCAGGTGATCTCCCACCTCCACCTCTCAGAGTGCTAGGATTACAGGTGTGAGCCACCGTACCTGGGATGAGTTCTTACTTGGGTGGTTATTTGACTGACGTCTGTGCCCTGCACTAGACTATAGGAATGGAAGGGCTGTGCCTGTTAGTACTTCTATAGCATCTTTAACGCCTAGCAGGTACCTGGTAGGCTTTCAGTAAATATTTGTTGGATTCATATGGTAGAGCTGTTGGGTCCTTGGAGAGAGAGAGCATTGGTAAGTTGGGTTGGTCTTGTGTTTTCCAGGGTCCTAAAAAGGTGGGGATGCTGTGGCGAGAAGCCGGGCTTAGCTGGAAGGAATTTCTACCTGAAGGCCAGGACATTGGTGCATTCATCGCTGAACAGGTTTGGGGCTGGAGTTGGGTTAATTCTAGCATTTGAGACTAGCCAGTCTTCTTTCGTGTCTCACATTGGCAACCTTACCTCTTAACTGCGGGCCTTTTCCATTGCAGAAGGTGGAGTATACTCTGGGAGAGGAGTCGGAAGCCCCTGGCCAGAGGGCACTCCCCTCCGAGGAGCTGAACAGGCAGCTGGAGAAGCTGCTGAAGGAGGGTAGCGGTAACCAGCGGGTGTTCGACTGGATAGAGGTAGGTTTCTCCTGGATATTGGTAAAGGAGAGGTAGTTCTTAGTGTGGGGCTGGGGGGTAGCAAGAATGAAGACTGAAGGGCACAATTCAGAGTTGGGGGGTCATTTGTTTCTCCCGTATAGGCCAACCTGAGTGAGCAGCAGATAGCATCCAACACGTTAGTTCGAGCCCTCATGACGGCTGTCTGCTATTCTGCAATTATTTGTAAGAGGAACCAGGGAGATGGAGGGGCAAGGGTGGGCCTGACAGACAAATGGAGGGAGGTGGGTGTCAGCCTTGGCCTCTCAGTTCTGAACCGGGGTAAGGGTATATTGCTCCACTCATCCCTGTCTTCTTGTAGTTGAGACTCCCCTGCGAGTGGACGTTGCAGTGCTGAAAGCGCGAGCGAAGCTGCTGCAGAAATACCTGTGCGATGAACAGAAGGAGCTGCAGGCACTCTACGCCCTCCAGGCCCTTGTAGTGACCTTAGAACAGCCTCCCAGTAAGAGCCAGACCACGGGGACAGGGGTGGGGTGGAGGGACTTCCAGACAGCAGGGCATCAGACCCTTCATGGAAGGGTCTTAACCCAGGAAAGGTAGGTAGTCATTAGAGAGCAAAATGCCCTCAGGGTTTCATTCCTTCCTCTTAATGTTTGTGTTGTGTTGTTCCTACCAGTGGAAGGAGTTAGCCTTGAAGGTTAATTGACTGCCTGTTTTGTGCCTAGCTATGTGTTTGATGCCAACAGTGCAGAGGTGATAAATGATAGGATCTTCTCAGTACCGTGTGCCCCCATGGTGTGGCACAGGACTGAAATGCTTTGCTTACCTTGCCTCATGTAGTCCTCACAGATGTTTAGGGTAGATGGTATTACCCCTCTTTTCCACATGAGGAGACCGAGGTTTCAGTGAACGTGTCTCAGGTTGTGCATTCAGCACATAGGTATGTGTCAGGGCACTGGCATGCTCACAGAAAGGACGCCGAGCAATTTCCTGTGCTGGCATGGAGTTAGTACTGGCGTGAGCAATGAGCCTGGGAAGACGGGTGCTCTCGGAGGGAGGACACCTGGTCTGAGGGATAATGGGTGGGAATTCGCTCCACGACAACTGGGAAGGTGGCGGGGAGAATGCTTGAAAGGAGGGCACTATGTGTGTTCTTTCTACCTGTGGTAGGGAGAACTTGACACAGGGAAAAGAAATATTGAAGAAAGGCCAGTGTGGGACAGCACAGCAACCAGTCCTAAGTGAGGCAAGATGGGGCTGAAGAGAGGGATGTGGGCCTGACCACACAGGGCCAGGTGTAAGCCATGGCCGGAGTCTGGGGCTTATTTAGTCTGAGGGCAAGAAAAGGCCTTTGTGGGATTTTAAGGAAGGCATAAAGGAATTTGGGTTTAGTTTTTAGATCATCCTGGTCATAGAGGGAAGAGTGGTTTGGATTGGGGTGAGAGTGGATGTGGCAGCGTTAGCACCAGTGGCTCAGCCTTGATGGTGACAGTGGAGAAGAGTGGGCAAATCAAGAGATACTTAGGAAATGGAGTTGGCAGCTTTTAGTTACACTGGTCTGGGGAGGGGCCGTGAGAGATTAGAAGTCATGGATGACTCCCAGGATGGTTTTAAATCATGGTGCATTTAGAGGCCATAGTGTGATGTCATTTGCTGGGGTAGGCAGTGCTGGATCAAGTTGAGTTGTGGTCCTTGAGTAAGGGAATCAAGAGATTCAGTTTGATAGCTGGGGTATCTGGGTCCTTTTGGAAAAGAAGAGGTCAGGGCAGGAGGCAGCTTTGTGAAATGCTGGCACAGGGTAACTTATGTGCAAGTCATAAGAGGATATGGGCTTGCCTGAGGGAGAGTGATAAGGGCCTGAGATACAGCCCCAAGGAGGTGGAGCAGACATACTGGTAGGGACCGAAAGAGGACAGGCCCCTCTGAACAACCAAGGACAGAAATTTGAGGAGAGGGATGTGGTTGGTAATGCTAGATGCTGCTGTGAGCGTTTGTAGGAGCAGGCCTGAAAATGCAGGATGTCTGGAATATAAAATCAGAGGCCACCCTGGCAAAAACAGTATTTAGTGGGGCAGGGGACAGATTCTGGGTCGGAAAGGACTGAGAAATATTTAAGTGAGACAGAAGGGAAAACATCAAGTGTAGACAAAATCTTTTATTAGCTGTAATATAGTGGTTGAAAACGGGTTTTTGTTTTTAGGTGGGAGAAACTTGGGCTTGAAAATACAGGGCAGAGTGCCTAATCGATTGGATGAGGTCCCTGGGTGGGTATGCATGGGATTTGGAGTGTAAGAATGGGATAAGTGAAGGTTCTGCCCTGCTGTGGCCTGTTGCTGTGGGGTGGGGGTAGCAGGTGACTATGCCCACAGGCAGAGTTTGTGACTTTGAGCCCGGGCATGCGCTGCAGAACATCCTGGCTTGAAGCATTTCATAGATGGCTTGGTTTGGAAAGACTGGTAGTGCCTTGTGGGCAATGGGGTGGGTGTGTTTCAGGGGTTATAGGACACGTGCTTGGGAAGGCCACCCAGCAGCTAGGGGTTGAGGAGAAAGAGGGTCCAAACAGGTGATGCTTGAGTTGAGTCCTGAAGGAACATGACAAGACGAAGTTTCCGGCAAAGGATATAGCATCCACAAAAGTGTCAAGGCCAGAGAAGGTGTGTATGTTGAGGAAACGTGTGCGGAAGGAAGGGAAATTGAGATCAGGAGTTGTCAGGATCTGTTTGGGGGGCAGTGAATTTTCAGGTTACATGTAGGATATATATAGGACTTTCAGCGATTTCCTAAATTCAGGAGTACCAATTCTGAATGTAGTTTTCTCCATTAAATACACCATGGGCAGAGACGTTTCAGGCTGCCAAGGTGAGGCTGAGCAAGTTTGTAAGGTTTTTCCGATGGCCAAGTGACTCATTGCTGTGCAGCGGTCTCTCAGATCATGAGATTAGCATCCTGTCAGAGGCCTAGTCACTCTGGAATGGTCACAAATGTCAGGATGGTGCGTCAGGGCCTTGTTTGAACAGTGGAGCCTGGGAGGGGTCCCTGGGGGTGGGCTGGGGTGGCGGTGGCGGGTCACCTCTAACTGTTGTCCTGCCTGCTTGCAGACCTGCTGCGGATGTTCTTTGATGCGCTCTATGACGAGGACGTGGTAAAGGAGGATGCCTTCTACAGTTGGGAGAGTAGCAAGGACCCCGCAGAGCAGCAGGGCAAGGGTGTGGCCCTTAAATCTGTCACAGCCTTCTTCAAGTGGCTCCGTGAGGCAGAGGAGGAGTCTGACCACAACTGAGGGCTGGTGGGGCCGGGGACCTGGAGCCCCATGGACACACAGATGGCCCGGCTAGCCGCCTGGACTGCAGGGGGGCGGCAGCAGCGGCGGTGGCAGTGGGTGCCTGTAGTGTGATGTGTCTGAACTAATAAAGTGGCTGAAGAGGCAGGATGGCTTGGGGCTGCCTGGGGCCCCCCTCCAGGATGCCGCCAGGTGTCCCTCTCCTCCCCCTGGGGCACAGAGATATATTATATATAAAGTCTTGAAATTTGGTGTGTCTTGGGGTGGGGAGGGGCACCGACGCCTGCCCCTGGGGTCCTTTTTTTTATTTTCTGAAAATCACTCTCGGGACTGCCGTCCTCGCTGCTGGGGGCATATGCCCCAGCCCCTGTACCACCCCTGCTGCTGCCTGGGCAGGGGGAAGGGGGGGCACGGTGCCTGTAATTATTAAACATGAATTCAAGTAAGCTCACTGCCTCTCTGCTTTGTGGCCTGCTCCCTCTAGAGAAGGTGTGTATAGGTGGGGATCCTTCCCAGAGCTGGCACTGTAGCGCTGTTCCCTGTAACCTGGCACCCCTCCTGCCTCTTCCCCTGTCCATGATTGCAAGGATCTGAGGAGGTTTCCCAGAAGGTTGGGCCCTCAGGTGGGCTTGATGGGTGCCCTTCTGGTCCGGAGAGAAGGGAGATTAGTGATAGGACATTCTTGCTAGACTGCTCTCCTACCAGAATGAGTCAAGCCCCTGTGTTGAGAAGGCTCTTGGATTTCGGGTTGTTTATAGTTGGAGAATCCCTTTATGGCTTCAAGGTGTCATCAAGGGGCTGGATGCATCAAGGGAGGCTTTCCGGCCCCGTGTAGTGTGACTCGGCTGGCTTAGTGAGTGTTCGCCACCCTTGCCTTCAGGTGGCAGTCGGGTCTGGGAGGAGAGGACCGGCGTTTTCGAACCCGGCCCAGGCCTCCTCTGCGTGGCCGTGACGTCGCTGCGCCCCGCCTACTTGGGTGGTGACGCGACGGCCACGCCCCCGCGCTTACGTCACCGGCCCGGTTCCCTCTCCGGGGAGCGGCGGCGGACGCGCGGCTCCCACCCCCTCCCCTCTCACGGGCTCTCCCCTCCCCAGTGGTGGCCGCGACCCGACCCTCTGCAAGGCGATGGCCCGCGCCCCCAGCGCAGGCTAGCGTGCCTGGGTGCCCGGCCATGGGCTGTATCGGCTCTCGAAGCCCGGCGGGTCAGGGTAAGAAGAGGCGGCGGCCGGGCACGGGTTGGGGAGTCGGGCTGCGGCCGCCGGTGCGCGGTGCGCGGGCCGCGGCTGGGTGGGGGCCTTGAGGAGGGGGCCGGTGTCGGGAGAGGGAGGAGCCTGTACCGGGAGGCGGGCCAGGCAACAGGAGGGAACGGGAATGAGCAGGGAGGGGGCCAGACCGACTCCGGTTCGCTCCCACGGCCTGCCTGCCTCGGGGTTTTGCAGGGCAGACGCATGGTCTCGCCGCCGGCTGCCGTGTGCCCACTGCTCAGGGTGGCCGGAGACGCATAGCTCGGGGAGGGGCTGGGCGGCCCGATGCCCCCACCGCTCCAGCCCGCGGCGACTGGCCTTGCGCGCCCACACACACGCTCCCCTCCGCCTATCCCTCTGCCTTCACTGTCCTGGGAGTGGCCCTGTGCTGGGAACCTGCTTCCCCCAGCCGTGTCCCCATCTTCTTAAAGAGGTAGCCTTTCGGCCCTGGCTAAGCACCTTACCACAGAATTTTTGTCGGACATTGACTCCCCGCTTCAGAGTCAGTTGGTGAAGGGGGACTGAGGCCCCGTTTGAGGCACCTGTGAACACTGAATCACCTCTCACCTATTACAGTTGTTTTAATGTCTTGCCCCCACTCAGCAAAAACAAATCGCCCTACTCTGTGGAGGGAAAGAGGAGCCCAGAGGCAGGCCATCAGGGCTTCCTTCCCACAATGCTGACCCCTGCTTGGGCCTCGGTTTCCGTGGGTGGCCGTGCGCACCGGGCCTGACCGTAGTCCTGTGCATCGGAGGTGGGCCAGCTTCCTTTACTCCGGTGTCCTGGATTTCTCCACGCATAAGGCCAGGCAGGACTGGGTTTGGGATGGGTCCTGGGCCTTCAGGGCAGGTGGTCAGGCCTTGGTGTGGTTGGTACTTGATATTCTTTGGAACTAAGACTGGCTGAGATTTGTACTTCCCTTGAGGAATTCTGGGATTTGTAGTCCCAAGTTAACCTCGTGGCTTTTGAAGCTGAGGAGCAGCTGACTGCTCTGATCTCTTTGGCCCTGCCAAGGCTTGGAGTTCAGGAAGTCATCACTTCCTCTAGTCAGGGGTGAGTTTGGCTGACCTCAGGACCGGCCTCGAGAGCCCTGATTAGGTACCAGTTGGGGGCCAGGGATGGCCTGTAACCTCCTGTTTTCCTTCTGGTTGGTAGCATTTCTGGGGACCAGCAGCTGATTGAGGCTCAGGGATAGAGACGGCTGCTCCAGCTAAAGGTCAGTTGTGATGTACATTGCCTGTTGGCACTCTCTAGGGAATGGGCCTCAGCTCCCCGAGCCCCAGAGAGCTTGGCTGAGCCCTGATGTTCCCACCTCCTCAGAGCCATGAGGCAGGAATGTTCTCCTTATGTGACTAGGCACAGGTTCCAAATGGGGAGGGGACTGGCTCAGCATCCGGAGCCAAAACAGGAATAGAACTGGGAGCTGAGCCTGGAGCGGTTCTGGGCTTTTGGTTCTCCGCATCAACACAGCCAGCATGCCTATGATTTCTGTGCTGGGCAAAATGTTTCTGTGGCAGCGTGAAGGGCCTGGAGGACGATGGACTTGTCAGACAAGTCGCAGAGGTGAGACCAGGGATCATGGATGTGATCTGGGAGACGATGGGAAGCTGAGCAGTAGGGTGCTTAGGTGGAAAAGGAAAATTACTCTGGCTTAGATATTAAGAACCAGGCTGAAAAGGGAGAACCAGGCTGGGGCCAGACAGGGCATCAGGAAACGGCTTCAGTGGACAGGGGTGAAAATCAGAAAAAACATCATGAGTTCGTCAGAAAAGAAGAGTAAAGAGCTGTGGACCAGCTGAGGCTGGTGAGAGGAAAGAAGGCAGCAGGAAGAGAGAAGGAAGGCAACACGCCTGCAAAGGGTCCAGGGTGGCTGGCGGTGGTGGGGGGACAGTGATGGCGGAAGAACTCAGTGTGCTTTCCAAGAGAAATGGGTAGGCTGGGAAACGGGGAGGAGAGTCAGAATTTATCATTGTTTGGTTTCACCCTAGGGTTTTGAGGCAAAAATTCATCTAGAGCAGGAAGGTGGCCAGTGGGCTGCCACAAAATGGCCCTAGGGGCCCGAGGGTCAGGGATGTGTGGGATAGGGGCTTTTAGAGTTGAGGAGAGCACTCAGTGGGTACTGGTCTTCTGGAAGGTGGGGGAGGGGCTGAGAAATGATATGGCAATACCTGATGAAAATGGGGATTTGGGCAGAAGTAGGGGCATAGCTGAACAGCCTTTCCCCTTCCTCTCAGTGTCCTCGGACCCCGCGTGGGCTGTGGAGTGGATCGAACTTCCTCGGGGTCTCTCTCTATCCTCCTTGGGATCTGCTCGAACCCTCCGAGGCTGGAGCAGGTCCTCCCGCCCTTCCTCGGTGGACAGCCAGGACTTGCCAGAGGTGCTGGGCCCCTGGTGGTGGGGGGAAGGAGGACGGCATCCATATAAAGGGGATCTGCAGCCCCCACCCACGCCTGGCCAGCCAGCTTCTGGCTCCCTTTTCCGGCGAGCGGAGGCGCTATCCGGCGGCGGGCCGGGAGGCCGCCCCCGTGCAGGTCTGCTCTGCTCGGCGCTGTGCCAGCGGGCGGAGAGCTCGCGCCTTCTGCGCTGACGTCAGCGCATCCCAGGCCGTATCCCGGGAGACCCTGTTGCATGGTGATGGGTTGCCAGGGAGACATACACCTTTTCTCTGGGCCTGGGCCGCAGCTGCGCGGAGCGCTGGGCACGGATGGCGGCGGCTGAGGGGAGCGAGGCGAGGGAGGGAGAGCAAGCCAAGAAACACCCAGCAGGTGCTCCTCCCCCTAGGCCTGGCTGGAGGCTACTGGCGCCACCCTGGGGGCCCTGTCAGCCAGGTACCCAAGGGGAGGGATGGAGGGTGGGCCTCAGGTCAAGGGGCAGTGTTGGCCGCCCTTGTGAGGGACGGAAACATGATAGAGGAGAGCAATGCCGGGGAGGGGTGCGTGCCTCCAACTTCATTAAGTGAGGGAAACATTTGCTGGGGCTTGTCAAGGAGCCCTGAGCCAAGTACAGGGTGGAGTTAGGAACTTAGGTGCATCAAACTTAGGCCTTGCCATCCGGAGCTCCCTCAGGAGACAGACAAGGGCAATGATGGGGGCGGGGTGTGTCAGAGAAAAGAGAGAGGCTGTCGGCTGAAAGCATTATTAGCAAGTGACACTCGAGATGGGCCTTAAGTGATGGCAAGCATTTTTACAGGTAAGGATGGCATTCTTGGCCCAGAGGAAAGCTGAGTTCCTTTTCCTGAAGGCAGGTGGGCTGCTTGCTGACAGGGTTTGGTGGAGAAGGATTTTTTGTTTGTTTTTTGTTTGGTTTTTTTTTTTGAGACAGTTTCACTCTTGTTGCCCCAGGCTGGAGTGCAATGGCGCCATCTCGGCTCACTGCAACCTCTACCTCCCGGGTTCAAGCAATTCTCTTGCCTCAGCCTTACGAGTAGCTGGGATTCCAGGCATGCGCTGCCACGCCCGGCTGATTTTGTATTTTTAGTAGAGATGGGATTTCACCATGTTGGCCAGGCTGGTCTCCAACTCCCAATCTCAGGTGATCTGTCTGCTTTGGCCTCCCAAAGTGTTGGGATTACAGGCATGAGCCACCACACCTGACCTGAGAAGAGGGGTTTTATTGGGCAGAGGAGATCAGTAGTGGATTCAAAGGAGGTTTGGAAGGAGGTAGGGGCGTCACAGAGTGGGATCCTGTAGGGCCTGGGTATGACGCCTGCACTAACCTCACTGGACAGTGGGGTAGCCTAGACAAGATTTTAGAGGTGTGTGGTGACCGGCTGCACTCCAGGAAAACTGTTTACATTATATCTTACCTCATTCATCCAGCCTTTGTATTTTTGTTTGCTTGTTTTTGATACAGAGTCTTTCTCTGTCACCCAGGCTGGAATGCAGTGGCATAATCTTGGCTCACTGCAACCTCTGCCTCCTAGGTTCAAACAATTCTCTTGCTTCAGCCTCCTGAGTAGCTGGGATTACAGGCATCCGCCACCATGCCTGGCCCATTTTTAAAATTATTTTTAGTGGAGATGGGGTTTCATCATGTTGGCCTGACTGGTCTCAAACTCCTGACCTCAGGTGATCCACCCACCTTGGCCTCCCGAAGTGCTGGGATTACAGGTGTGAACCACCGTGCCTGGCCCAGCCTATGCCTTTTTTTGTTTGTTTGTTTTTGTTTGTTTTTTGAGACAGACTCTTGCTCTG